CAAAATTGGAGGCAGGGACCTTTCGCCTGAACACGCAGAGGTTGCTTTTGGTTGAGGGGGCACACGGCTTCTTTACGGGCCACACACCGCGCAACTGGCTCACATCGGCGGCAGCGGTGTTGGGCTGGCCAAAGATCAGCGTGACTTTCTAGGTCGTTGGATGATCGGCGGTTCGGGGTCTGCGGACTACACGCGGACTGCAAGGGAGATTGTACATCAGATCCAGTATGGGGTATGCAAAGCAATTGTAACAGGCGAGGGTGCTGTGTACCATGAGGTTGAAGCACTTGATGAGCTCAAGAAGTATGTGGACAACCACGGGGGCTCAGGGGCACTTGCTAGGCGACGGCACGATGTCTTCAAAGTTGTTGAGGGCGCGAGGTGCTTGGGAAACAAGTGGCCCACGATTGAACTTGAAGAGACTGACCTTAGTGAAGATGAGGGCCCAGGTGAGGCAGAGGCTGTGCAGGGCAGCCGCACGAAGTACTTCATCAGCATCAGCCGGAAAGCTGGCTACCGTCGCTTGCATCTCAATGGGCCGTGCCACGTCAAGCCTCACCACTGCACCAAGGTGGAGTATGTAGATCGTGTCATGCTTGACCAGATTGATAGCATCTGCCGTGATTGCAAACACCGCATGAGGGACGAGCTGGGTATGGAGCCCAGCCAGGACACCAGTAGCGAGAGTGCGTCCACAAGTGACTCCGAAAGCTGTGAGGGTTGAGAGTATAAATCTTCTTTAGAATCGGCTGTGTTGCGAGCATCTGTGTAGTTGGACATGAGTTCGGCCGTGCAACTGTTTGCGCCTGTCAGGAGCTGTCTGCATGTACATGGAGAGTTGATCAAGGTTGACACGCGGCTGTTTCAGGTGTCAGACATCATTGATCGTTGCATGCATGACTGAGCTGATTTCTGTGCACTAGGCAGACTGCGTTTCATTTGATCTGAGATTTAACATGTCAGTGATGTACATTTTCAGTTGATGAACATTACCGCTAGCGAGGCGGTTTCAGTATCAGATTGTTGAACACACGACAGCTCGCAAGCTGCCGGGTTGTTAGATCATTCAGCATGGCTGCTGCACCACTCCCGAGTGAGAGTGAACAGAGGGCTGAGGTTGCAAAGATGGACTCAGACTTGCAATACGTGTTGCAAGAGTCGAGGGATCCAAGCTCTGCTTAAGCTTAGT